CTTATCTCATTAGCTACCAAACAAGTTCATTTGCCAAAGCCATGGGCACGTTCCGAGTTCGCCGCTTGACATTGGCAAAGTAACTTCCCTTTTGCTCCGCTCGCTATTTGCATGCAAATGTTGTTATCCCGGCGATGTCCTTTTAACTCTTGACTGCTCACAAAGGCGTGGTCTGGGAGCACTTTAGTTTTGCCAGGGATCTCCGCTGCACTTGACGCGGTCTTTATTTTTTTTTTGTTCCCCCGAATGCTCCATGGAAATAGATTTCAATTGGAAACAATTATAGCTTTAGTTTCGCCATTGTTTCCTGGCAGTCAGAAGCAGCTGCTAGTTAAAACCAATAAATATGAGGGGAAAAAATGCGGGACAGCTACTTTCACCTGGCTGAACCAATTTCAAAGGGCCAAAAGCTACGCGGGGGCTGTGGACTGGAAATGATGTAGATTTAAGTACGCTTTTTTCCCCACTGCATTTTTTCGCATTTTCCATTTTTCCCATGTTTTCCAGGGAGTTTTTTCCTCGAGTAGCTTGTTTATGGCTCTGGAAAACACGATGAGCTAAGCAGCCTCCAGGCTAATGGCGGGTTGGATGGGTTAAAGTAGCTACTACCCCGCCGAGCAAGCTCAGCTAGCTTCACTCGCTTCTTCTGCTTTTCGGTAATTGTTTTTACAGTTTTTAATCTTTGCTTCTTTTATTATAATGCTGCGTATTCTGGCTTTTTTAAATCAAAAAGGAAACTAGACAATTTAAATTGAGATTTTCAACGGCTTCGGGCTGTGCACTAAACTAAAGCAGAACGAAAAACCCCATCAAATACGGAATCAAACGAGCTGAACGTGACTCAAAGTACAAGTTATTTTATTTTGTGAAAAATGTAATAAAGTATATATGAAGTTGAAACTATTTTATTATTTATCTGTGCCATTTCGTAACCGGTTTATTATTTTAATGGTCATCCACATTGCTTCAACCGGAGCATATAAATGTTTGAAAATTTCTAACAAATGTAATTGAACTGGAGTGGTTAGAAAAGGTGCTTGTAAAAAAAGTAATACTGAATTCTTACACAGAAATAAATAAGCTAAAAAACTCGTTATAAATGTTTACAAATTTATAACAAATTTACTTTAAAGACATCTGAAATATTAATATTATAGAGAACGTTATACATACTTTAAGAAAGTTTATTAAAATATCTCGTAATTAAATTGCTATGTTCCTATTTTATAATTACGTTTTCTTGCCTCTCGCATTCACCTAGTTTTCTCCATGGAAACTGCCTGTTTTTAAACTCTTTAAATGAAATTGCCTTCCACTCGGGCTCGCAGACAGGCCCGACTGCTGCTTCAATCTTTCTGGCACTTTGCACATGGAAGAGGCAGCCACCTGAAGAGCATTTTGTCAGCTCTGCTGACACTCGAGTGTCAGACAAAGTAAACTAATGACGACAGCCGGGCCGGATGTGCATAAGTGGGACACTTTTAGTTGACTTATGGCCAAGATCGCTTCACATAATCTCCGGTTTTGGTTAACACACATGCCAGCGGCTCAATCATATAAGATCAAACAAAATTTAAACGCCATGAATATCCTTTGGGTAACATTTTGTTTGACTTGTGCATAATTCAGGGCATTAGCTTCCATGTAGAATTTATTAAAGCTTTAAATAAACTGTAAAAAAATCAATTTGGTTGTAATTAGATTGAATTGGTTTAGAGTTAGCTGCCAGGATTTATTTGAAATCAATATTTTATTGTTTTTAATTTTCAATATTCGTTTTTCTGCCATTAGTTTCGATCCTAAAACTAAACAATTTTCTACCCCAAAACCCCTCACAACTCAGGTCTCCACTCTTCCACCACTTCTCATTATCATTTATGCACATTGTTATGAACTTTCGACTCTGTCGTCGTTCCAAAACCATTACAAAATTGTCACTCATAAAAGTTTGATGTTGACAATTACGTATACGCAGCGTGGACGCTGATTGTCATTCATTTTAGATTGCCATTTCATAACTGTGTGGGAGTGTGTGTGTGTGTTGCTCTGTCCTTCTCCAAATATTGTTGCAATGTCCATTTGTGAGTGCCATCGAGAAAAGTTCGTTCGTTGCCTGCTGTGTCGTTTCAGCTCAAAACAACTGACAACTGTGGAAATTAATTCAGCCACGCCCCCACGCCGATGGCCGCATCCATGCCACGCCACCCTTAAGTTTGGTGCTTGAACTTATTTGCCGGCTTTTACCTGCAATTAGACGCAATTAAAATCGCAAAATGTAATTTATTTTAATTGCTGTTTCAAACAACTTTTTGGGCCAAAGCCTCAAAATGTAGGAAGGGGTGCTTGCTTGGTGCTGATTTCTACATGTTTAGATAAACTTTGCCGAAGTGCTTTCAAAATAATAAAATTATGCACGCAATTTCGGTTGTGAATTTGATGAAATTATAAAGTTTTCCTGGCCACGTCCAACGGAGCAAAGTGCAAAAGGTTGTCTCACTTAAGTGATGGTGAACTGGGCGTATACTTGATGCCAGCTTAAGGGATGGTTTCTGTATAGACAACGTTTTTTTTTTAATTTATGTAATAAAGTGCTTAAGCAATTGGTAATAGAAAATCCCAGACACAGCTAAGAGCTAATTGAATCAGTTTAGAGATAAGTAGTCCTCTTATGGACCGACTTAAGCTCCCCTAAATATGTGTGAATGGTTAAAACGCTGCTTCAGGGGCTTCATCGTAATCCCCACTTGTTGAGTAATTAATGCCACAAAAATCTGAGTGGGGTTTTGCTGTCAATTTGATCAGAAGTTTAGCATTATGGGCAAACAATTTTACTCAATCGCCGGATGGGAAATGATTTGCTTCCCACGCATAACCCGCACATCCGTTTCGCATTTCTTTGGAGTACTCCCAAGCCACCCCCTGCCATATGTGCGAATGACAACAAAGTGAAGGGAAGGAAGTCGAAGGTTTTGGAAGAGGAAGGGAATTTATGTGTTAGGCCCTGTAATTCGATGCCAAAACAGGCAACGAAAATCCGTTTAGCTGACACGGCACCCGGCGTTTGTGTACCTCATTTTGGGGGCTGAGCAAACAGAATCAAGCTCAGTCAAATTGCTTTACTTTACCGCAGATTAGTCAGAGGGCGGGGAAAGGCAACCCAAGTCACTTTACAATCTCATCACCATCAAGGGGAAATACTTAAGGCGGTTACCGGGGTAAATTAAGTTGATTGGTTTATATGGCTTTGCCAGTAATTAAAAATTAAGCACATATTATATAATAAAATAATATATTTAAGTTTAATTTAAAGTTAATAAATTATAAATGCTAAACAAAATCAATTTTAATTTACTTACAAAAAAAGCTCACCTACTTTCCGAGATACTTTCTGTAATATTTATCTTTAAATATTAAACAATCTAAAACCTTCTAAGCTCATCCCCAAATTTATGTAAATACAACTTAAAAATGAGTTAAATTTCATTTAACAACTTTTCTCTCTGGTCCAAAATTTATGTGTTTCTGGGTCAGTTCAACAAAGATAAACACTGCAAGTTAAGCTTGTTCATAACAAGCCAGTAGCAACCCAAACCGCAGCAGCAACCACTGCCCATTCCAATAAGCCAGATAACCACCACCACCGGCAAACAACACAAACAAGTCCTGCTCAATTCTGTGTTTTCCTTTCTTTTTTTTTTGTATTTTGGCCAACTTTTTACTGGCAGAGACAAAACACCTTGGGGCTGCAAAGTTAGCCGGGTTAAGCCGAAAAATAACAATAAAAATCACAATTCAATGGCCCTGACTTGGGGTTGTGTAAGCAACGGCAGAGTCAAAAAGTGAGAATTTAATGTTTTCAATTAGCTACTACCAGACGAGTGCTTGGGCCTTGAGGAAAATTCTAAGAAATCTAAAGGCTTTCAAGATTTCTTAAAGTTGAGGGTAAAATGTATTACAGCACAGATTTTGGTCTTTAAAGTGGAGAAAATGTGATGAGACAGCTAGTAAATTTAATAATTTATTTAAACTTGTTGAAAATTATACATTTTAAATAAGGGAATATAATTTATTTTTTAATTTTAGTTAAGAGTAATTATTTTAGTAATTTTATTATAAAAGCGTTAGGTATAAAAATTGTATTTAAATGTTTAAACTTTCACTTTCTTCAAGCAAATTTAAGATTGTGGAGTTTAAGACAGGCATACATTTTTAATAATATAATTTTCAAAAAAATAACTTATTAAATATTCGAATTTTAAATTTAAAGAATAAACCTAAGCGAATTAATTTTATTTATATTTAAATATTCCATGTAAGCTTTAAGGATATATATTCTCCCTAATTTAAAATCAAAAAGGTTCAATATTTTGTAGCAAAATTATATATCTCCTCGGTGATAAATATTTTATTGCATTTTCTGTTTACGTAACAAAATGCTTTTAGCTTTAATTGTGGAAAATATTTCGACGAATTTTCCAGCAGCTGAGGCGCAGCCAATTTCCCATCTACCAATTGTCTATTGGCCAAGCTAATGGGCTTGGCTGGTAAAATTATATGCAACATAACAGTGGCTGGAGCTCTAAAGGAAGCCCCACAAATGGCGGGTGCTGACGGAAAAGCGGAAGTGCCGCTGCCATGCCACGCCTATTTATGTGCTTTTAACATGGGCGTGAATATTAATGCTTCATATTTGGAAAGTTTGCTCGCTGCGGTGGGCGTTTTTCGACTAAGCCACGTCGGGGGGGCGGCTTGTTGATTTAATTTGTGCTCCTCCATCTGAAGGCGTATAATTATTTCGCCAATGGGCGTTGTTCCACAATGTTCCTTTGCCAATTTATGTTCCACGGCCAGCCCGTTCGCGTGCTGGATGGGAATAGCTCTGCCTCTCTCTTCACGTCCTTCTATCTGGACTCTCCCCTCGGGTTTTATGTCCTTTTGGTTTGTTTTATTTTTCAATTGCCCCGTTTGCTGTTTTGCCGGTTTCCTCAAAACTGTTTAGCATGCAGCGCACATCAGGCCGTGAGTGTGTTTCTGCCGGAGAGGATATTGTATAAGTTTGCTATCTTTATGACCTCTACCCTGGCAGATACCCACAAACACACACAGACCGCCATCGGGTAGATTAAAGTGTTAATATTTAATGCGCGCGTCGCTTTGAATTATTTGAGCCGTCTGCCTTCCAGGCTAACTCCGCGTGTTTGTCTGGCTTTGTCGATATTTTTCTGAGTTCGATGCCGGTTTTCGCCTTTAAAGCCGCTTCCGTGTTAAATGCCAGTCAAATATTGATTTGCCTTTCGGCATGGCTTTGCCTTCAGGCAACTCGAGTTTTCACTTTAGGAATTTAATTTAGTCATACGTAGAAAATAATGTATTTATTTTTATTTGTATTTTTTTTGTCCTTCCTTACTCATTTATAAAATAAAAGAAGTTTTTGTTTTATTTGTATCTGCCATATGGGATATTATGCCAATTTTTGTATTGAATTTTTGTCTATGACGTTCGAGTAGTGACGAAAAGATAAGACTTTAAAATACGGAAACATTTAATCAATATAATAAATATTGCCTTGACTCGATTCATCATCGCCCAGAACGGCGCATGTTGATTTGGTACTTAAAAAACTATATCATTCATAACTGGAAGATAACAAAAAGTTACCATTTTGAGCGACTTTTGTTCTTCTTAAAAATAAGGCAACAAAAATGAATTCCCATGAATTCCATAGAATTTCTAATTAAATCTAATCAAACTGTCATTAATATAAGCTATCAACTCCATATCAGGGGAATACCTCGACGTATAAACAATTCTGTTGGCCTCATTGGCAAGTCAGTGTGGAATTAAACGTGAAAGGGAGTTGGTCTTCTGACCAGTCTTAAAAAAAGCCTTTCTAAATATTTAAAAGTGAAATTGTTATGAAAGGTAGAGTGTAATATTATGGCAAAAAAAAATCAAAAGTTCTCTCGGATGTGATTTTTTATTTTGACTAAATAAAAATACTTTTTATCGGTATTAATAGTTAAACAATTATCCTAATTAGTCCTAAAAAAGATCACAATACAATAAATTATATAACATTTTATTTTTATTATATATTAAATGTAAAACTGTTTGGAAATAAACTGCCAGAGTTAATTATCTCATAAATGCTTCAAAATAATTAAAGCTGATTAATGCAATCTACTCTCCACTTAAAAAGTAATTAATTCTAATCTCTGGAGTGTTCTTATATTTTACAGTCAACACTTCTTACCATTTGCCATGGGCTCTGGTAATAGCAGCCGTTTTCTGGAGCTGGCATTTGAATGTTTTGGCCCATGAGACCTGTAACAATGAACAGCGTTACGAGAACCAGGTGATGTGCGAAGGCAAGCAGTTTGGTTGCTTGGTTCCCTATCCGGATAACTGCAGTCTGTTCTTGGTTTGCGATTGCCTGTATCCCACGGTCAAGTTGTGTCCGGCTAATTTATGGTGGGACAATAATACGCAGCTCTGCAATTACCCTCAAGCCGTGGAGTGTGTTTACTATTCGATTGAGACGCCCGAACCCACGGATGGAACTACAAAAATTACTCCAGGATCAACCGAAGGAACCACAAAAATCAGCCCAACTAGCACTGCGAGTACTCCATCAATTAACTGGCCAACTTCTAGCTGGGATCCGCCGCCACTACCGCCTGGAATTTCAGAGGATGCTTGTCGGGATAAAGAGGATGGCAGGTTGCTACGGTATCCATATGACTGTCAGGCCTACATAAACTGTACTAATGGCTGGCCTGTGCTAAACTACTGTGATCCCGATAAGGTCTTTAATGATTTTCTGAAAATCTGCGACACTCCCGAGATGGCGGATTGCGAGGAGTTGCCTCTGCCGAGTACCACCACTCAGATGACGTCCACCTCAACGACTCAGATGACGTCTACTTCAACCACTGAAATGACGTCCATTTCAACCACTCAAATGACGTCTACTTCAACGGAGTTAACGCCCACCTCAACCACCGAAGAAGATATTATCTGCGGCCCAACTCCAGAGGACATTGCGGAGGATTATTGTGTGACCTTGGGAAATGGCTTCTATGATTATCCCTACAATTGCAGTGGATACTTGGCCTGCCGAAATGGTTGCACCGATCTGGATTACTGCCAGCCGGACAAGCTCTTTAACAGCTGGTTGCATATCTGCGATACTCCCGATTCGGTGCAGTGCGATCCCGAGCCATATCCCACAACTCCAGGAATTACCGAGAAACCAACTACTCCAGCGACGCCAACCACAATCAGTACGACAACATCGGAGGAAAATGACACCGAAGCCTCAACTGCCACAGCGACGGAAGAGATTCCAACAACTACGCCTGGACTTCCTGCCGATGTTAATCCGAATGAATGCAAAGGTTTGCCTGATGGCACCATTATCGCTTATGCTGGAAATTGTTCGCAGTACTTGATCTGCAAAGATAATCAAGTGGAAATGGGTGAGTGTCCGCCCACGCTGCTCTTCAATCCCGATTGGCTTGTGTGCGATGAGCCAGGAGATTTTACATGTCTGGGAGACCGCACCACCACACCGATTCCAACAACCAAGCCAACTACGACTACGGAGCAAACTACTCCCACTCCCACGACAACCACCACAAAAGCCACGACTTTAGGACCCAGTGAACTCTGCGAGGGACAGCCATTGGGAACTTCGTTTGCATATCCCGAAGATTGCAGCAAATATTACTTATGCATGGGCACTGGCGGTGAATGGTTAGTGGCATCCTGTATTTTTGGCAGTTATTTCGATCCACAATCCGGAATATGTGCCCCCAATGTCTCACCTGATGCCTGCAAGGGTGTAGAAGCTACAACTCCCGCAACCACTGTGACTCCAACAACAACTGAAAAAATTACTACCCTGAAACCAACAACAGAAGAAACTTCCACTACCCAAAAGATGACGACAACAACTGAGGCTCCTTCAACAGGGGTTTGTGCCGGTCGAAATGAGAACGAGAATATAGCTTATCCGAAGAATTGCAACAAGTATATCGTGTGCGTTTCACCCATACCCATAGCTTTCTATTGCCCCGACGAGACTTTCTTCAGTTCGAAGCTTGGAGAATGCATTGGAAGCTGGGAGGAGAGTGACTGCGAGGGAGATCAGAGCACTACTACTCCAGAGCCCGGAATTACGAGACCACCCCCAGAGCCCACAATGTGCACGAACAGCACCCGGGATACCTTCCCATATCCGGACAACTGTCAGTGGTTTATCCGTTGCGTGGACGATTACATCTATATGATGGACGTCTGTAATTGCGGCGAATATTACGATCCTATTACTGGAAAGTGTGGAGCGGATGTACCATCTGATGCTTGTCGCTGGGATTACACATCAACAACTTCTACAACCGAAGAGCCGACCACAAGCTCACCAGTCACGAGACCGCCTCCCCAGAAGGGGCCCTGTGACAGTGTAGACGATGATGCTTTGGTGCCCTATCCCAACGATTGTTCAAAATACATTCAGTGTAGTCGACCAATCGCAGAAGCATTCGATTGCGACGAGGGAGATGAGTTCAGTGTGGCCCTAAAACAGTGTGTGGATGCTTCGCTGGCCAATTGTTCTGTTACCACCACAGCTAAGCCTTCAGAAGCGACTACGACTTCAAGTGGAGGAGATTCTACGTCTACCTCTGGAGAATCAACATCGCCTTACCCTCCTACACCAACAACAAAGACTACAACTATATCATCTACAGAGTCAACAACTAAGCCATCCACTGTAACACCAACAGAATCCACTACAATTTCAACCTCTGAACCATCAACAGTGTCTTCTACCGTGGAACCCATAGAAACCAGCACTTTACCTACCACTGAATCATCAACGACGGCTTCTACTGAAACACCACCAGAGTCCACTACAATTTCAACCACCTATGAACCAGAATCTTCCTCAATAGAACCGGGAACTACGACTACTGCAAAGCCTGGCGATGGAGTTTGTGGTGGCAAGACGGACAACTCTTCGGTGCCCTATCCCAGAAATTGCAGCAAGTACATAATATGTCAATATCCTATACCCGTTGGATATGACTGCCCAATAGGTTTGGAGTTCAGTCCCACGGAATTGATTTGCATGGATCCTGAACTGGCTGGGTGTAGCACAAAGTTGACAACTACTGAAGAGCCTACAACTGCAGGATCTACAACACCTTCAACAACCGAGTCGACAACATTATCAACAACTGAACTAACTACACCGAAGACAACTTCTGAAGCAACAACGGTATCAACAACAACCGAATCAACAACTCCAAAGACAACTTCCGAATCAACAACAGTTTCAACCACCCCAAAGACTACAACCGAATCAACAACAATTTCTACAACAACAGAGCCAACAACTCCAAACACATCTTCTGAATCAACAACAGTTTCAACAACCGCAAAGACTACAACCGAATCAACAACCGTTTCTACAACAGCAGCGCCACCAATAACTCTCGATCCATACACTCCAAACATTTGCTGTGGCCAACCATTGGGAACTCTGCTCGCCTATCCAAACGATTGCAGTCGTTATGTGGTTTGTGACTACCCCATTCCATATGCCGTGGATTGTGACGAGGGAACGATCTTTGATGACAAATTGCTTCAGTGCACAGCAACACCCAATGAGAGGTGCCTATTTCTTTCATTATAAATGTATAATTTAATAAAGTGTGGACATCAACTAGCAGAATTTCTCAATTGAAATTATTAATATATATTTCTGTAATTTTAAAAATATTATTTGCCAGCTGCTGACAGTTTTTAAATTATTAAAACTTCGAGGCAACAGTAGGGAGAACGCAGGCTTAGCATTTAAAATCATCCTTTTCTATAGGGCTTATTTGCTGTCGTGAAGTGTGTTTACTTTTCCCGCTTATGCTGGCTATTTTCCAAGAACAAACTGTTGTTGGTAGCCAGTCAAGCAATGTCTAACAGCATTCGATAACTTGTGCTGCAAATTGATTACTCTTACAGGACTTTGAAAATGTTGGCTAAATTTTAATCTCCAAGAGCATTCAGGCATCGGACTCCAGTGCCCTCCGAATTTTCAACTTCTGGAGGTTAGTTTTAGCTTGTTGCATCCTCGTGATGTTGCCCGCTGCCAACAACAAGTTTTTGCCAGTGCTTAAATATTAACAAGTGCATCAAGCCGGCATAGTTTTTGGACCAAAGTTTTGGGCCGGCCTCATAAAAAGACCTCGGAACTGCCGTTATTCGGAAAATCAATTACCGCACACATTGCCGGGGATCTGCGGCCACTTTCCGCACTCCACTCCACCACCACATCTTGCCGCCTAACTATCCTGCATCCTTGTGATTTCCTGGGGATGACAGGAAAGGAGCCCGGGGACTGGCAGGACCTGGCGGAGGCCATCTTGTCTGGCGCTGATATCGCCACAACGACAATTGACCGACATTTTATTTAATGTCGCCGTTCATTAGGCAGCCGCAGGCTTCGGAGAGTGCCTCGAACCGCAGTCGCATTTAGTCTGCAGCCGTTCACGTAAACAACAAGCAGACGACCAGACGATATACACTGGGAGAAATAAGATTGGTAATATTTGGGAAATACATTTAAAAATGACTAAATATATATATATATTTTAATCGCAACTAATTCCTGAAAAAATAACATTGGAAATCCCAATGAATTTTAGTTAAATAATTAATTTGCAAACTATACTTTGACATACCTTTTTTCAGAAAGCATACATCTCCAGAGCTTTATAATTACTTACCTAATAGCATTGTAATTCAAAACATTACTAGTTTTTCTCTAACTGCAAAGCCGTTACCACAAAATTAGAAGCTGGTCGAAGTTGCTCCATTGCAGCTGTATGGCGCCGCCCCCTGCCATGTGGCTCGATCATGTGTTTGTATCTTAATCTGATAAATACGTGGCCAGGCCCTCTCCGGTCCACCGTTTGTTTGTGCCGAGTTCCTGCAGTCGGTTATTGATGGTCTGACCCTTGTAGCTGGGGCTTCCGCTGGCAGGCGAGTGCAGGGATTTTCCGCTGGAAAAGCAGAAAAGCAGCTGAAGAGATACGAGTTCTGGTCACGAATCGAACGCTTTGCCGGCTTTAAGCAGCAACAAATTGCATATGCTTTGGGTCGATCGATAAGCCCCATCGATTGGAAAACTCTTTAAATCGCATAGAAATGAAATCTGTATGCAGCAACAAGCGTAATAATATTAATTTAAAATATTTTGCGGTTTACGGTGACATGCGGAAATGCAACCGCATCTCATTTATGAATTTAAGCGCAACAAAAAAGAGAAAAAAAAGGAAAATAAAAGCAAAATCATTATAAAAAGGGAAAACACAATTTCTGTGTATTAACATGAGGAAATTTTTATTTCGCCACAAGCATTAAACATTTAAATCACAATTTTTCGCTTAACCATTAATGGTTTCAACAATTCGCCGCCGATCTGACTGTGCATTAAATCAGACACATTATCTGCAAGCCAGAAATTTATTCAGCCCTAGCCCAGGGCATGTTGACTTGACCCACAAACGAGATTTTCATTTAATTAACTTTCATGTACACTCTGTGTGTGTGTAAGAGCCAGGCTTCAAGCTTTTCCCACAGTGATTTATGAGTTGCAGTCCTTCTCAGATGTCCTGCGGTGAGTGAGTCTGAATGTGTGGAGCGACAAAGTTTGTCCAAAGAATATTCGGAGACATGACTGCTTTCCCACTCGGAGCTCTGGCTTTTGAGTGTCAGTTACATTATTCATTCTAAGCAAAAATAAACTTAATATTTGCCTGGAAAGTATTCTTTTGTGTTGTTTCTTGAATGCCGGTTAAATTACAAGTAGTGCAAATTAAATTGAATACATTCCCCCAAAAGAATTCGATTTTACTAGCTATTAAAATAAAATCAATGTGTCAGTCGCATAAAGCTGTCATCAGGCTTAAATTTATTTACTTTAACTAGCTTTAAGGCTGATAAAATACAATTAAAAGGTAATTGCCACTGGAGCATTGAATATTGAATTGTATTTTGTTATTTTTACCTGTTTTGCCTCTATGCCTGAGAAACACTAAGGTTGATTGCCCTTTGTGGGTGCTCCGTCACCTTGTCAGTTTTAATGGCAAAACTTTTTCACTTAACCTTAAGTCATGAATTGATTTCCCTTCGCTTTAATTTTTTTTTTTTTTGTTCTTAACGACTTTGCACTCTGCACTTGCAGCAGCAGAAACTTCTTCCTGCTGAGTAATGACTTTACATGCGTGTCAAACATGTGCGTATATATCCATATCCATATCCATATATCCCTCGCCACGTCAGGCTAAGCTGGTGTCATAAAGTTCTCATAAGTTTGCTGTCTGTCTTGCTGCCAGACTGCTGTGTATTTGAAAGTCAAGAGTCTCAGTCTCCTCCTCACTGACAAATTATGTAATATGTTTGCCGTATTAAAGTTGAACAAAGTTTGACTATGAAAAGGGGGGAAATTAAGTTTCCATTGCAGGGGATCTTAAACAACTCAATTTAATGGTTACTGGCATAATCGGATTTCTAGTTGCTTGGCTATAGTTTATCTATGCAGGAGAAACTATTAAATAAATATTAAAAATATATAAAAGAGACATTATTTGGTTTGAAAAACTTTGAGAGAACAATATCTTAAAGTTGGGAATAAAAACCCTTTAAGTTAACTTTTTAAGATATATATTTTAAAGCCTTTAAAAAATATATAAAAAGAAAGAAAAATAAAATATGTTAGGTAAATTAAACACAATTTTACCTTTCAATATTTCTTTTTTTTAAGTAATTGCTTACAAAATCCTCTTCAAAATCAACCCACACTTTAAGCTCATTATTACACCGAAAATCAATTAAATTCAGGCTCATTTAGCACGTAAATCATCGAATCTCCATGGGAAGTCGTGAATATTAGGTTACAGCCTCGCGATAATCGATATCTTCCATCGGGCAATTAATTATGGGCTCTTTGCCTAATGCAGGATAACTTCTTCCATTCCAAGAACTCTGCTCCTGTGCTCCTGGATTTTGTTTCTTCATTGGTTCAGGGCGCCGTACAACCCATCGAGGATAATGAAAAATGAAAATTCGAGTAAGTAAGTTCTGTTTGCGTTGTTCCTGCACTCCGTTCTTTACACTTTGCCTTCATTCTGCATACATCAATAAACAATAACAGCAAAAACATAAATTTACATGTGCACGTCAGTGCGGGACAGGAGTGCGTTGGATGGGAAAGGAGCAGCCAGGGCCAGGTTCTTCGGCAATCATTCATTTTGTTAATGAATTGCCTCAACTCCAGTAAGAACAAGAAAGCCGGAGAGGCGGTTGCCGGGAAAGGCGATGTAAAATTTAAATGAGTACGTACATAAGGGTGAGGCAATATTTCATTGTAAAATGGCTTACCATAATAACAAAGGTAGCAAAAGATAATCGGAGTAGCAGACTATAAGTAACTTATTATTCGGATATAATTTTAAATAATTTACAGGGAGTTTATACTTTAATAATAATATATAAATATAAATTATTTGTATTATATTATCATTAATAGATAATATATATTTTCATATATTAAAAATTATAAAGAAATTGATTTTAAATTAATTTATTTTTACTTAAAGTAAATAAAATATCAAAATAAATACCATTTTATTTTCCATAAATTTATATATATATATATTATGTATATTATAATTAATAGTGAGTATTATTCTAATTTATACTTTTATTTATACTATCAAAACATAAATATACCCCAAAGAAAATCGAAATACCCTAGATAGTAGCAATTACCACGAAAAGAAAGATGCCAGTACAAGGTATAATTAATATTGCTCATACGCAGCGTCTGCCCACGGAAATTGCCTTTACACAAACAAACACATACACAACCATACAAGGCTTAAGCCTTATTTTTTTTTTTGTTCTCCTTGTTTACCGTGTTGAGTGGACATCTGGATATTTTCCTGGACATGCGATAAATCTTCCGTGCGCTGATTTCACATGTGCGAACCTTTGGGCAAATTTAGATTTATTTCAATGCGTATGCAAATACATTGAGAGCCGCCGCTGCCGCAAAACTTTTGACATATTTCACTTGGCCGCAAGACAAATGTCTTTTTAATGTCCATAAATTATGCGACCCGTCGTTATCGATGACCGAGCTGTATCTCGGGCTAACCAAAATGTTTGGACACAACTCCCTCCATAAACATGATGTTTCAATGTTGTTCCTTTTGCCGTATGAAAATAGTCTAGAGCATTTTATGTGTGTGAAAAGCTGCAGCCTGCACTCTTTCACATTTGTTGGGCATTTTCATGGGGCTCATCGTTGGACTTCTCCTCTATCTACCCCCTTGGCCCCATAAATCTCCTTGTTTAGCTCTTCTGTAGCTCAGACCAAACAATGAAATTAAAAACATATTTTCTGCTCATTCCGGTCTGGGCACAGTCGGGATTTAGATTCAATTAAACTGTCAACGGGATTGGGACTCACAAGAGCCACGAACAAGCCGCACTGCCGCCTCAGCTGTCTCCACTCACCTGACGGGACGAAGGATACTTGCAATGTTTGTCATGTCGAGCAGCAGGCATTAAACTCGAATTAGCAGGTGAGGCAGAGAGAGGGACCCCATCCCTCTTCATGCTAAGCACTCTAGGAAAAATTCAATTCTAACACCGCCCAAGATTTATAGGTAT